CATCCTGACTGCAAAAAATCAATACAAAGTCTTCGCTTTTTCATCTCAGCATGGCCTGCCTTGTCGCCGACGTTGCGAAATATGTGGCAGCAGTGGGACGCGGCGCATATATGGAACGCGGCGCACATCGCGCGCGCGGCCGTCAATCTGGGCCCGCCCAAATCAATACAAAGTTTCCGTTTTTTCCTCTCAGATGGCCTCCTTTGTCGCCGACGGTGCGAAATATGTGGCAGGAACGGGACGCGGCGCACATCGCGCGCGGACGTTCATGCGGGCTGCGGGCCCTCCCATCCTGATTGTAAAAAAAACAATACCGCGCTGCCGTTTTTCCTTTCATCATGGCCTGTCTTGTCCTCGACGATGCGACATGCGTGGCAGGAATGGGGCGCGGCGCACTGCGCGCGCGGACTCCTGGGGCAACCCCAAGGCGCGAGGGGCCACCTTACTTGCCAGAAGCAATGCCATGCTGATTTTCCCTGCCCACATAGCTGTTCTTGTCGTCCACACCGCAAAAGTGCATGGCAAGAATTGGGCGCGGTACACCCCCCTCCCCCCCCCGCTCGACATGAATGAAATGACCTTCCCGCTTGGGCGCCGAGCTACAGTTTCTCAAAGTTGCGCTCCCGCTCTGGCTCGGCCCACGTTTCTTGCTCGCCAATTCATTGGGCGCCGGGGCGTTCCAGGAGGCCCTGGGGTGACGAATGCCTGGGATGTTTTTGCTTGTTCAGGCTCTTGGAGGGCCTCGAGAGGCTCCCCGCGGTTTCTTGGCGGCGTCTTCGGCCGTCTGGGGGCCATCTTGGGCGTCTTGGCACGATCTTTCGGCGACTCGGGGCCCCTCGGATCGCCTCGGGGGCGTCTCGGCTCTCGCGGGGCGTTCCTGGGGCGCCCTGGGACCTGGAAGTCAGCGCCGAAGAAGACTACCATCGTTGGGACCGACGTGCCCAGGACCTGCTCGGGGTTCTTTTCGTCCGGGGCCCCCCAGGGGCCGCCCCGCGCGCGCAAACTAAAAGATCGTTAACTAGTTACCAGAGATCTTAGCACGCCTCTGGCCCGTCAGGCTGGCCAGGGACCTGCTCGGGGCACCTTTCGCCCGGGGGCCCCCAGGGGTCGCCCCGCGCGCGCGAAGTAGAAGACTGTTAACTAGTTACCATGTAACGCCCCTCACGGGGGTAGAAACCAATTGGACCAAGTGTATTTGCTGGGGCGTCACGTTGTGACCCGCGCTGGTATCCTGGCGTGGATGTTGCCGCTTTGCCAGAGCCAGCGCAGCCAGCCAGGCAGTCTGCGAGACCGGAGAAGCCCGCCGCTCGCGCCAGCGCCAAAGTCTCACAAATTATGCAGTGGGCCCGCCCCAGGCGCCGATCTTTTCTTCAAACCGATGTGGATCGGTCGCGGGTGGGTCGCGGGCGAGTCGCGGGGCGGGTCGCGCGCGGGTCGCAAGTGCGTCGCGGGATCCCAGGAGCCCCTCCAGAACGCCACCGGGAAGCCAGAGGTCTCACAACAAAATCGAACAGGAATATGCATGAGTCTTGCCTTCTCCTTTTCTTCGTCTCCGAGGGGCAGCTGCGGCCTCCAGATCGCCCCCCCGGAGCCCCCAGGGACGCCCCGGAAATTCCCCACAACGGCCCGCGAACCGCCAACGCGCCACCAGAAGGCCCCCAAGAGGCCTCGGAACGCTTCCAATGGGGCCCTCGAGAGACCCCCCAAACGTCCCCGGAGCCCCCAAGAGGCCCCCAAGAGGCCCCCAAGAGGCCCCCAAGATGCCCCAAGGACTTCCAGAAGCCCCACGAGGCTCCCCAAGAAGCCCGGAGGCGCCCAAGAGCCACTCCAAAGAATTCCCAGTAGCCCCCCAAGAGGACCTCTCCTGGAACCCACGCGCACCAGCTCTTCGAGCTGTACCCAGCCATGGTGACGAGGAGAGCTCCCCGAGGTGAGGAAACCTCGAGCCTCGAACCTCGATCCTGGAGGTTCAAAGTCGATCATCCTCCCGGCTCCAAGTGGCGCGCGCACCCATTCATGATCGAAGATTACCTTTTGGCCGCACTTTCCTTACACAAGCCCTGTCCCGAGTGCACACAAGGGATACTTTTGATTATGCGCTCTGTGGCACGGCAGCCCTCACGGCGCCATGGACCGTGTTTGCGGCGGCACTATTGGCCCCCACATGCCCACAGCGGTCTCTCTCAAGACGGCGTCCCGTGCCAACAAGCCGAACACATGGGTGCAGTTGCTGGACACTTTCGAATATTACGGCGAGCGGATGCCCTCATATGCAACACCAATGAATTACGGCTCTTTCACGCAGTTCAAAGCTGCGTACCAAAGTGGAAGCGGCATCTATTTTGATGCGGCGAGGTCGGGTGGCACCGTCTGGCAACAGTGCTGTTGCGGGTTAAATTCGTTCGAGGCCATGAAGAATGGAGGGTACATCGCGTTGCAACTTCTAAAATGCCGCTGACAACTAAGAGAGGGGGGCTCCCCTAGCGCTTCCCCCCCGCCA